CATAATTACAGAACAAGACTGCAAGGTTTGTCCTAAGCCATTACTCAAAACATGACACCTGTACCAATATCAAAAATGAACTAGGATGGGAAATGCTATTATCACGTCGAATTGAACTGCGGTTAAAGCTCTTATGTCTAGCATTTCATGGTAAAACTTGCATTCATTGATCATTGTACCCAAATAGTCCTCTTTGCGCAATAGTAATAGTTTCAAGAATTTAAAGTGTCATTCAGATTGTTTTATGTTATTTCAATTTTTTTTACTTTTACGTTTTATGACTGAATAAAATGACTTATAAAAAAACAAGTCTGCTGTATCAATGAAGACGTGTTTTTTTTACATTAACCCATCTGCTGCAGCGCCTTCCGGTAAAATTGTGATATGCACACGGCTTTGTTTTGTTTTTAATTTAGTTTTCACGCACCCCTCTCTACGTGGCATAAGAAGTTTTGGTTAGACACTAGAAGTTTTTGCGTGCCAATTTTTCGAAAAATGTTGTATCTCTGTGACTTTTTTTAATTGTTCCGTTACGAGCCACAAAACCATGATGCGAGGAAGCAAGCTTGAATCTCTTTCTTCTCGCCCCACGTAGCGATCGCAAGCATAACTCCTTCCCTGCTGTCTTCGGTATGGAGGAAGGAGGATCACATGATGCATATGCAGCAAGAACATCATGCGTAAGCAAGGTCACGCGTGCATGACGTACCCCATTCTACTCGTGCGCGTACGCAATCGATGTTGTGTCACTTAGGCGTTCTACGTTTTGTATTACCCGTTTCTGTGGAATGGATCAGTCATTGGAAGCACTAGAGGCTGGCATGGATCATGCATCGTGACCATGATACACGACGTCGTTTCGCTGAAATTGTGGTTAGAGATGATGCACCAATCACAGGCTGAGCGTTGTCAGGGTTGGAGAAGACACGATGCAGGAGCTACGATAAGACGAACGTGAGCGAAGTGGAAAGTAGTAGTACACAGTAAAAATTTTTGCACCCAAAATGGTGTAAAAAGGGTGCTTTTACGAGAAAGCACCCTTTGCAACACCTTTTAACACCCATAAATGGTCGATTGAAAAAAAAGCACCCCTTTGTTTGGGTGCTTGCCTCAATAGCACCCTAACATAGGCTCTAAGGGTGCTTTTGTGCCTGAGAAGGGTGTAGGTGCCGATTCATCAGATGGAATATGCAGCATAAGAAGAACACATAATTATCATATTTGGGATTTTACGTCTCAAAAACCCCGATATGATTATGAGGGTCGTCGTAGTGGAAAGCTGCAGAGATTTTCACCATTTGGTGTTCTTTAATGAGCGCTCATATCGCACAGTGCAAAGGCTTCTACCTTTTCGCCTCCGCCTTAATTCGACTGCCACGGCCGGCATCGAACCCGCGACCTTCGGATTGGCGGCCGAGCAGTGCAGCTACTGCACGAATATGTGGACCTTGCGTTAAATGACGGCCTAATTGACTTAGAATGTGTGAAGGTGCTCTCCGAATACAGCAGAATGCCAGCAGAAGCAAATCGCGTTTCATCTATTTTTATTTTTATTTCAAATACCCTCAGGGTACAAACGTACATTGAAGAGGGGAGGGGCAAAGAAGAAAGTTAACACGTAATAATAACTTAAATAAAAACTTGGTTATAGTTTTAAAAATACAGAAATGAATTATCACGATGACGCTTTAAACAAATATCAGTTACAAGAACAAAGGCCAATGAACCAAGATGAATAACACAGCAATCAAAACACTGGACTGTCCTGGAAGAATTACAAGATTTTATCATTGGATGCACTGCCAAAAGAGATATAATGAAAAAAAAAAAAAATAATGTACAAAAAGTAGCCACTCGCAAAACTAGAATACGAGAAGCATAAAAAAAAAAAAAAAAAAATAAAGGTATGAAAACAAACACTGAACGATGTTAACTCGAAATGAAACTTCGAAGTGCGATTTTGAAATTATTGGTGTTAGTTATGCTTGTGAGTGATGCAGGCAGATTGTTCCAGTCTCTGGTCGTTGTGGGGAGAAATGAGTGTGAAAAGCCGACGGTGTTGCTGTGTGGAATGTTTACCTTTTGGCGATGGTCGATGCGGGATGAAATGTACGGCGGTGGCTGAAGAAGCATAGAATGTAAATATGAATTGTGGTAGTAGATTTTATGGAAAAGATAGAGTCGAGATAGTTTTCGGCGATGTGATAGCAATGGAAGGTGTAGAATGTCTTTCATGTTAGTAACACTCGCAGTTCTTTGGTAATTGTTTAAAATGAAGCGGACTGAGCGATTTTGTATTTTTTCTAGTAATTTTATGTGGTTCTGATATCCGGTGTCCCATACTGACGATGCATACTCAAGCTTCGGACGAATGAAAGTTGTGTACAGTAGTAGTTTTAATGAAGATGGCGCTTGAGGAAACTTCCGGCGAAAATATCCTAATGTGCTAGTGGCCTTGGTGGCTATGTAATCAATATGAGTTTTCCATGAAAGGTTATTGGTAATATGGACACCCAAGTATTTGTACGATGTTACGCATTCTAGTGGGATGTTATTAAGTGTGTAAGTAGGGGAAGTCACTTCAGCACTGGAAATCCTCATACTTTTGCATTTTCTAACGTTTAATTCCATACGCCATAATTGACACCATTTAGTTATGTTATTAAGATCTTCCTGAATTAGTGAAATGTCTGCGGCATCCGTCACCTTTCTATACAAGACGCAGTCATCTGCAAACAGGCATATTTTCGAAGAGACATTAGTAGGCAAATCATTAATATAGATTAGGAATAGTAAGGGACCAAGCACAGACCCTTGCGGGACACCAGAATCAACAGGAATCAATGAGGAGTTAACGTCGTTAGCGGCTACAAACTGAACACGTGATGTTAGAAAGGCGCGAATCCAATTAATTACAGCTGTGTCGATGTTTAGAACGCTTAGTTTATGAAGTAGCAGTGCATGGTTCACTTTGTCGAATGCTTTAGAGAAGTCGAGAAATATACAATCTGTTAAAAAACCGCCATCTAGATTAGAGTGGAGAAAATGAGTGAAGGCTATGAGCTGAGTGTCACAGGAAAAGTTTTTGCGAAATCCATGCTGCGAAGCTGTGAAGAAGTTGTTATGTTCGAGAAAATTAACCAGATGTGTGTAAATTATATGCTCCATAATTTTGCAAGGCACTGATGTAAGAGAAATCGGTCTATAATTTTGTGGGTCATGGGATGGTCCTGATTTGTAAATAGGGATGACTCTGCCAGTTTTCCAGTCAAACGGTAAGGTACCCGAGTTGTAAGATTGCGAGTAAATATGTTCTAGTATGATTGAGCAATATTCAGCAGTGTTTTTTAAAAAGATTGCATTGATTTCGTCTACCCCGCATGATGCTTTAGATTTTAGTTTCTGAATGATGCTTTTGATACCAGTGGAGTTGAAGATTATGGGATGCATTGAGTGGTATTGAGTAGGATGGATCTCAGGCATCGGACCGGGAAGGTTAGGTGATGAGAATGACGAAGCGAAAGTTTCATTGAGCAGAGTAGAACACATATGCTCCGGTACAGGGCCCCCAGAACTTGTCAGCAGTGATATACCATTTTTATGAGCATTTCCCCGGATAATCTCCCAAAAGCGTTTTGGGTTAGCCTGTATTAAGTTTGGAAGCGTGGATTTAAGGAAGGAGACTTTGGCTGATTTTAGTGCTATGAGATATGAGCTTGCAGCGTTTTTGTATGTTAGCCAATGAGACGGTGTTGAGTGAAGTTTAGCTGTGCGGAATAAACGTTTTTTCTTATTGGATAATCGATTCAAATATGTACTATACCATGGTGATTTATTGTTAGCGTAAACAGTCCGAAGGGGGACATGTTTGGTTATTAGCTCACCGATTTTATTTTTTAAAATGAACCAGTTAGTTTCGACGGAGCGTTCTAGATAACTAGGTAAAAAAGTGGCCAGAAACAGGCACAGTTCATTGTTGATGGCCTCATAATTAGCTTTTTTATAATTTCGAATCTTTTTCCGCTGTCGCTTTATCTTTTGATGAGGTGTTGTAATCGTGAAGAGCAGGATGTCGTGATCGCTCAGCCCTGGCATGTGTGTTACTGTAGAAACTTTATCAGTTGATGTCGTTAGAATCAGATCAAGGAGTGATGATTTGTTTTTTGTTACACGTGTTGGAAGTTTGACTATCTGGGATAAGCCGAAGTCAGAGCAAACTGAAACGAACCGATTGGCTTCAGCCGTTGAGGGGTTAGAAAAAGGGATCGAATGAGACCAGATGATGTCAGGAAAATTAAAATCACCCAAGAGTATAATTTGAACTCCCGGGAAACGCATGGTAACCGCATTTAAACTGTCGTGAATGTCATCACAAAAGGATGAGTCACTTGATGGGGATCTGTAGCAGACACCTAATAATATTTTCTTAAAACTAATTGTTAGGCAACACCAAATAAGCTCTAAATTCGAGTTGATTGGCACAAGAGAACAATTTATGGATTCTTTAACAGCGAGCAAGACGCCACCACCAATCCTACCAGTTCTGTCACTTCGGTAAACAGTATAACGGTTTGCACACTCAAAGAGTTCGGGGTTTGTTATTTTGCTACTTAGCCAGGTTTCTGTCAGTGCAATAATGTCGGCGTTACAGTCATCAATAATACCACAGAATTCATCTTTCTTGGGAAAATAACTACGAATGTTGGTAAAAAGGACTGAACACTTGCACTCGTTTATGGTTCCTCCCCTCAGATGTCCCTAACTCGGCGGTAACCTACGACCTGAGCGAAGAGTTCTGCTACGTTCATGCTCGTGTGTGGGTTTTTTTTCTGTGTATTTCGAAAATACAGTTCTTCGCTTCGTCGTATCCGTAAGATTTGCCATCGAATGTCAGCGTTTTATACCGAAGTTTGAAGGACGTGGTCTTTGATTTACCGTATTCTATTAGTTTTTTTCTTATGTTGCGCGTTGTTTGACAAAAATCTTCGCTCATTGCTATGTCAGTGCTCTTTAGCAAACCTCGTTTTGAAAAAAACCAGCTCTCTCTTTTTAAATGTTTCAAATTTCGTTATAAGTGGTCGAGCTTTCGCTGAATCATAGCGTCCTATTCTGTGAGCGCGGCATATATCAGAACTTGTGACATCAATTTGGATAGTATTAGTCAGGAGGTTGATGATCTTTTTTTCCGATTCCGAAGAAGTTTCATCTGCGGCATCTGGAATTCCATAAAAGACAAGATTGTTTCTCCGCGATCGATCCTCTGCGTCATCAAGACGCGAATGCATATTACTAGTGTCTTTTTCAAGGCGCTCAACAGTGGTGCGTAGTTCTTTCATTTCATGCTGCCAGTGCTCGAAAACGGAGGTTTGGTTTTCAACTTTCGCCAGTCTGTCCTTTATTTCGTTTATTGATTCTGAAACTGACTGTTGTTGTTCTTTTAACACAGATACGGTGTCCAATATTGTTGTTTGCGCTGATTCCATTCTTTTTGTACGTTCGTTCAAATCCTTCATCGTTTTCACTAGTTCTGCTAAGTTGTCAGGACCTGGGTTGCTTTCTACATCCCCACAAAGAAGTAGTAGCAAAGAACAAAAAGGCAAGAGAACGGCTTGTGGGCACGGAAGCACAACAATAAAGGGTTCATCAGATCGGAAGCTACGACAAGGCAGTTTAGAAAGGTAACTAACCTGCAAGACGAAAAGACAGGTGCGTAAGCCTTTGGCTGTTCTTTCCATCGCGCTTCCGTGCCCACTGCAGTGATAGTGCTCGATGCTGGGTCTTATCCTATCCGGACGAGATGACGTTGATGTCGCAGCTGCGCACTGGTGGTGCTGCAGGTGGCGCTCGACGATGTTGGTCAGGTCCCAGCAAGCTGTTTCTGGCAGGTCTGGTGAAGGGGCAACAGCACAGATTCCGTCCGATAATGGAAGATCCGGGGAAGGGGCGGCTTCACGAATTCCGTCCGAGAGCGCGAAGCTTTCCCGTAGACCAGCCACTGGTACGCCGGCCGCGAAAACAGCGACGTACTGCAAGACGAAAAGACAGGTGCGTAAGCCTTTGGCTGTTCTTTCCATCGCGCTTCCGTGCCCACTGCAGTGATAGTGCTCGATGCTGGGTCTTATCCTATCCGGACGAGATGACGTTGATGTCGCAGCTGCGCACTGGTGGTGCTGCAGGTGGCGCTCGACGATGTTGGTCAGGTCCCAGCAAGCTGTTTCTGGCAGGTCTGGTGAAGGGGCAACAGCACAGATTCCGTCCGATAATGGAAGATCCGGGGAAGGGGCGGCTTCACGAATTCCGTCCGAGAGCGCGAAGCTTTCCCGTAGACCAGCCACTGGTACGCCGGCCGCGAAAACAGCGACGTACTGCAAGACGAAAAGACAGGTGCGTAAGCCTTTGGCTGTTCTTTCCATCGCGCTTCCGTGCCCACTCGGCTGTTCTTTCCATCGCGCTTCCGTGCCCACTCAATTGCAGTTAATTGCCATCTATAATGGCAATTAACTGCAATTCACGTTACGAAAGCTCACCTTAGCGTTGGTTATAAGCTACATGTTTGCTAAGGATTATATACAGGAACATAATGTTCACCCGAGTATGGGTGTGTGTGCGTGAGCCTGCACATGTGTTCGCGTGCAAGCGCGATTGTGTGTACACCCGTGCATGTGTGCGTGCGCGTGTATGTGCGAGTCCGTGCTTGTGTTAAGCGTGCCTGTGCACATGTGTACGCCCATGCATGCGTGCGTTTACGGTCGCGTGTGTGTGTGGCCGTATGTGTGTATACGTGTATGTGTGTGCGCCTGTGAATAAGTATGCGTGTGTATCAGCCCGTGCGCCCTCGAATTTTGTGTGTGTGTGTGTGTGTGCGGGGGGGGGGAGGCACTGCTTCTTATTGTTTAAGGTCCCACACATGTTCAGACTGGGAGTCTATATGGGAGGTGGCTTAAGGAATGGCGGTGGTCAACGCACTGTACACGGACTATTCAGTACATGGAAAACAGCTGCACATTTTCGTACCTGATCGTTGCTTACGAACTTGCTGTGGTAGCTGATTAGGTACGCTGAGGTGCTTCTACGCTCGAAAACGTGGGTTATGAACGATTCCCACGGAAAGCTGTCACTGCACTTATGCACAACCATCGTTTATATTGTAGTGCCATCATCATCATCATCATCATCATCATCATCATTTTTCCATCATCGCGCCGCATCTCTCGCGCAGCTGGCGCGAGCTCGAGCTGCGCGAGAATTAGAACGAGCTGACACGCCTGGCGTGGCGGACGCTGGTAGCCGACGTGGCTCCGCTTCAGGCCTGCAATAAAGTGGCGAGATCGGCACGGCCCCATCGGCCGCCTTCGACGTCTTCTCACGTCTCCTCTTCTCACGCCGCTACATTGGTGACCCGGAGAACACGCCCTTCGCCGATGGCCCGCTGCCATGTTCCCGCAACTCTGCCCGCCAGTGCCGCCGTTCCAATCGATCTACCCAAAGGTATGGTTTATGCAGCTCGACGCCGTTATTGCGGTGAATGGCGTCACGGACCAGCCGCTGATGCACGCCATTCTTCAAGACTGGACTTCCTAAACGGACACCTTGCGGATTTTCGTTCATGTATTCGACGTCTTCTCACGTCTCCTCTTCTCACGCCGCTACAATATTAACAACGTTTAACAAGAACGTGCCCTGCCTTTGCTACAGGTGCTTAGCTAGCTCATTGGGCAACCATATGGAATTATGTGCTGATCATGTGGTCAGCAAAAAGTTTGTTATAACAACCTCGGCACGTTTCGTGGTGCGTGACAAGCCTTCTAAACATCCGCGACTGTGGATTAGTTTGTTCCAGCTTCGACTACGCATTCAGTGTTTGCGGCACCATACGCGGAAGTTCCAGACACAGACAATGCAAAAAGAAATTCCTCTGGAAAAAAGTGTAGCGATGCTCTCCCGCTAATGCCACCGAGGATGAAATAATTATTGTTTCTGGCCCATTCCATGGGCACTTTGTATTCCGCAAGTTTTGCTTCACTATTTTTCGCCCACTGCAATCGCATTCCGTCAAAATACTCAAAGAACCCGAGGCCGGGAAATAACCTGCGTCGCTGTGCGACTGGCTGGAAGGAGAGTTGCCGTTTACAAGGACGCTATGGCGTATGCGCCATAGCGTTGGCCTTTCGGCGCCGTCCTGGCGGGTTTCAAGCTCCTCCCCCCCCGCTCACCCCGGCCAGCGTTGCTCCCACAACGGCGGCGTAGATAAGCGAATAGTTGCGTCACCAAACACCTGCGTCGACATCTGCGGCGCCGCCGCGGCGCTTTAGCCGCCGCGAGTGCCTCCTCCCCTTCTCTCTCAACGTCGCTCTCTCTGTCTCATCGTCTTTCAAATGCGTTGCGTTGGTCTGGGGTCTTTGCCGCTGTGTGTGTTCTAGCGAACAGGCGCATATTCAATGGTGGTCACGCATGACACCGTGTTCGAAGTGACACTCGGATTAAGGAATATTCATGGAGTGGCGGACACGGACAACGTGGGCCTGTTAACGGTGAGCGTACTGTTTTCGTAGGTAGTAATCATACAGCGCTAGCTTGGCGCCTGCAGCAGCTCTGCCGAAGTAGGCTTCCAGCCATTTACAACAGCATGCGTTCGCGGGCCTGTTGCAGATGCCCGATTAAACGTGTGACTTAACAAGTTCCCACTGCTATGCGCGATGTTGTGTAAGTGCCTGCATCACTCATACAGTGAGTGATGTGATCACTTAACAAGGGCAGGATTAGTTGCTGATCGCACATTGTCTCTACACTGCACAAAGTGATTGATATTGTTTTAAGATGTGCTTTGGGCTACATCGTAATAACATTTCTATTAATACTCAAATGTGCAACGTGCCTCTGTAGGTGTAAGCGTAAAAAAAGAAAGAAAAAGCAAAAATTATGTACAGAGGCGCACTGTACGAAATGGCTTTTTTTTTTTTGCTTAAAGACGGTATAGTTGGAGGTGCTGATATGCCGCGATGCTCCCAGCACGTGCGCATCGGTCTTTTAAGCTACTTAGGACAAGTGCCATCAGCAACAGGGAAAGATCTAGCAGACTTCCAAAGGCGCGTTGTTGTGGCCATCGCCATGCGTTGTTTTCCCTCGTTTCTGTTTGCTGTTTTCGTGCTTCGCTTTCATCTGCGATAATGTTCGGCGTTATAACAGAATCGAGAGAGTATACGTGACTGTTGGAGCTATGTGCGGTAGCTCTAGCATAAGCCATGGCTGCTGCAACGTAGTCGGCGTCCGCGCACGTTGGTGTCGTTCGAGCGCTCTTACTTGCGTGATTGTGTTTAACTGAGTATTTAGGCACGGGTTACGTTTGTAAATCCCGTAGTCAATAATCCCTAATAGCGTGCCCCCGACTGCCATCAGAGGATTGGCTTGGTTGTCGAAATATGCCAGACGCTTTTTCTGAAAGCAAGCTTTGAATTTTTTTTAAAAAAGAAGTACTTTCATACGTGCAAGGCAGTACCTATTGCAGGCCCGCAACTCTTTAAAAACTGGACGAGCTATCACATCTTTTATCAAATTACAATGAATTAAGATGATTAAATTATAGATGACGAATTTCTGTGCTAGATTAGGTGCACAAAACACATGTTCGCTGCCCTACGTCTAGAAAGCAGGCAAATAGGAAGCACAGCGTCAAATTTGGATTAGATTCCATTGACGGAGTGTCTTGTGAGAGTAGAAAGAACGAGAAAATTGTTCATTTTTGATGCCCTTATAGAGGCAGTCAGAATTGCACTGATTGGTGACTTGTAACAATTCCTCAGATTGTTAGAGGCGTGATTAAAGTCAGTAAATCTTTTACTTTTTTTTTGCAGACCTCTTCGCTAGTGCCACGCCCAAGATCATTTGTTCTCATGTTAAGAAAAAGCAGAGATGTCTTCACTGTTTGTACATGAAGATGTAAGTTTCTTGTGCATTTTGATTAATGTTACATGTTCTGAACGTTGTACTTTAGGAATTGTTTTTCACACTGGCTCACTACCCTAGAAGGAATTTGATTCTTAGGTGAGTTCAGGCTTTCGTAAGTGCCATTTTTGAGCTGTAGTCTTACACTTCACCTCATTTCGAGAATTTGCTGTATGCTGGAAAACTCATATTTTTATCATACGAAATTATTGGAATGTATGGGTTGTATGCTTCGAGTTCAGTGTAATTTCAATTACACGCCATTTCGAAGGATACACACTACACATTCTTTATATATGGTGCTGACAGAACAGCACGAACATCCTTTTATGAGAAGTCATATTTGCTCTTATTACAGGATGGGAGGGTGCCCCTGACGTCCTGCGTAGTCTACCCCCCGGCCCCAGCCTAGAGCAAGCCTACTTCCTGAACCTCCACATGGATAACCGAAAAATCTTCCGTGTCAGTAATGACGAAGAAGGAGTGACAGCACTGATGAGTTGATTTTTTTTATTTTCAACATTGTCTACGGCCGCAAGGCCTTTAACATCCACCGTGATTGTGCGGCTTTTTCTCGGTGTGAGTTTGGAGTTTATTAAAGAAGTTGTTCAGGCAGTACGACGCTGAAAATTTTAGTGTCACAATGCCTGAACAACTTTTTCTAGTGTGGTCATTGTAGATGAACAAACATTGTTATTTGTGTAAGTTATTTTGCTTAAATATAGCTGGACCATTCCATGCCAAACGTCCCAGCCGCTTTGGCGACCATCTGAATTGTATTTGAAAAAAAAAGTGCTGACTTACTGCACTGAAAACAGTGAACTGCTAGAATATTTCAGCGAGAAAAAAGTTTTGTTCATGTGGCTGGCTTATAACTTCCTGGCATAATGCCGTCTGTGTGCTGTTTGTGGAAAATTTCGTTTTAAAACTACCGCTTATTTTTTCTAAAGCAAATTCGGTCTACCTGTTAAGTAAATGTGCTTCTGTAAGGTATTTGAAGCTCAATAATAATAGTGCAAATTTTTTGCCACATTCGCTTCCAAGAATAAAGCCAAAATGTGTTATGTTTACATTTTTTATTGCAATATTGCACTTTGTATGAATATCTGAGCAGTGAATACTTACTCCACAGAAGGTATATTATGAGTAAAAAATATCTTTAGACTTCTCAAGCTGCTGAAATATACGAGAAAATATCACGAATTTCGCAAAATTGTGATTTTTGTCCGTATTGAGATGCAATTCTAACAAATCTAAATGCATGTCAATAACCCGGCGATCTATTTCTTCCCCCTGTACCTACAGAATCAACGCCGTTCCCCTCCAGCATGTCTCTTCATATAAGTACCTCGGCGTTTACATTACCAACAACCTATCTTGGCACACGCATGTTACCTACATCTGTAATAACGCTAACCGAACGCTAGGATACTTACGCCGCAACTTTTCTCGCGCTCCGCTGTCCCTCAAAATTCTATTA